CTTCCACATATACACAGACGATGCAGCAGGCTGAAAGCCGCATAAAGTGCTTGAACCACGACGTACATGTACGCTGCACACAAAAAATTATATATGCAATATATAGCCAGCACACGAGTCAAGCGATGAAACGGAAGAAAAGAAATGTTTACTTCAGCAGCAGCAAGAATAAGCCACTGCATCCAAGTACTGCACTCTGCGCATTCATCTCCGGTTTCTTCTCGGCGATGCTGCTGCTGCTGCTGCTGAGACTCCATGCATCAAATCAAATCGCACAGACCCAATTTCCTTTCCATTTTTCAACTTTTCCCAAGACCTATATTTGCTTCGTCTTCTTCTGCTTCACCGTTCACCAGTTCATTTTATGCATCAAGTCAACAACTTGCATTGCGTATATATGTACCCCATCAGCACTCCTTGATTGCTGCGAGGATCTACATATTTATACGCTATATATATGCATCCTGGATCGGATGATTCGAGTCATCGCCAGCATATATTTGCAAATTTCTTCGCGTGAGGGAAATCAAAATCAGACGAGCGATAGTCGAGTGATTATATGCAGGGATATGCTGATGCATTCTGGGTGTGAGAGGAAGAAAGAGAAAAATGCAGTTCTGATAACTGTACTGATGAAGCAATATAGCTGTAATAATGGGCATGAATGATTATGTAGGAATGTAGCGCAATATTTTCGCAATTCCATTCATTCAACACAAATGAGTTCAATAAGTGACGTAATAAACACTGAATAACCTGAGAAAGTTTCCATTTTTCTGAATGAATTCATGTCAGAAAAGAGTGCTGTGTTCCAAAGGGAATCAAATTATCTCTTAACATGAAAACGTGCTGTACTGTATATATATCCCTGACATATAGCGTGTTTGTAAGCATGCTTTTCTTTCCCAGTTTCTTCTCGTAACATTCCTGCACCATCATTCGGACTTCCATGCTCACGTCTCTTAAATCTTTTGATTTTATGCAGTAGATGTCGCGCGCTTACAATATGTTGCCGACTTTCATATATAAAAAAGAAAGATATGTGGATTAACACGCGTGCGAGAAATACGAGAAGTTCTCACGAAGAACTTTTCGCTTCAAACTTTTTCATTATTTCATAACTCGTTTTTCCCGGGATTTTATTATAAGATTCATATGCCATGAGTGTCACGTACTTTCGCACGCATTTGAAGCACAAGTGCATCCATTTCTGCTGAATTCAGCGAGAAGAACCTGATGGAGCATGTAGGACACGGGCCAGCAGCTCTATAATACTGCATTAGAGGAAAAGGTCTCGTGCCATTATGCTGAATAATATGTGCTGAAATAGATTCGCATGATGGACATTGAGGGCTGTTGGGAAATGTTTTCATTCCGATTCCTCGCTCTCATTTCATACTGATGGGCGTGTGGGTGCTGTGAGTGTAATATCAAAGAAGCACGACGGACAGCACAGACTGACAGACAAATCAAATTAACGTATAAATCACAATATATGTACATACTGTACCTACCTGCTGATATTTGCAGGTAATGTGTGTCAAAAGTATGAACGAACCCTTCCCAATTAAGGGGAATTAAGAGTTTGAATAGATTTTGAGCATTTCACATTTTCACTGAATGGAGAAAAACGAAGAGGAATTACATCAAATTGATTTGGTAGTGACATCTATGTGAGTTCATGGGAAAGCAGCGGAAGGATTCCGCAAGACTGGTCAGGTGATGTCCGTCACTTGGAGACGAACATGCGATTCTTCCATGCACCCTATGATTATTTGACGCATTTTTGGTCTCAATTCTTAATTTATAGTGAAATCATCTTTTCAAGCAAATACTTTTATTTTGCCTCAGGCAATTTACTCGTTTTACGTTTTATGATTGCTTTTTTTTTGCATTCCACGAAAATAAGGGATGATTTTTTTTCCCCTGAATACGGTTTCGTAAATCTCAAATTTACTATAAGCTCTGAAACTCCTTTAAGAAGGAAACTTTATTTGCAGCATTAGACGAATGTGTTGAAATGTTTCCTTTCTTAACGCACTTCACTTTTATTGATAAATTGCTGTTCGCAGGAATACCACATGTGAGAAAACATGTAGTACAATACAGTACATGTACTGTACCCAGTGCATCACTGTAGGAAATATGCGGCATTTTAGATAATATTTGCAAGTCGTCGTATATTGTAGATAGAAGAAAAAATAGACTCTCATCCCCCATTATTCAACAAGATGTTTATCCTCTTATTGCCATGTCCATTTATTTTCTGCTCCAGTGGGTGACAGCATCACATTAATCGACTTTTGATGCATTTCAGCGCCTTTCCGCATCCCTGCGTCGCTCATCATCTGCATTATTCCCCATGCAAATTGTGTGCCATTCATCATGCAATTTTTGCGCATCCACTGCATATAAGAAACGCCAGATAGGGATTGAACAACATTTGAATACATCAGCAACCATATATAATATATTTATAAGTATATTGGAAGTCGGTGAAGAGACCCTTTCTGAAATAATTGAGGATCAAGATGAAATATTGGCCTTATATGATTTATCATCAAAGTTTCTCTCTAAATTGTTTATTCAACTAAAAACCTTATTTGGGAACAGGCTGAAGACCTTGTGCTTTAAATTGGGTTCAGTAACTGCTGCAATTGCTTCAATTCTGGCTTATGCTGAAATTCTTTTGATTAAAATATTTTGTTTTCAATGTCAGGGAAAGAAGGGGGTGTATGCATACACATCAGTTGTGAAATTGCACATTGTTGAATTTCATTTCTTTTATTTTGGTATCCACAGCATGCAGCTTTTTTTCTATTTTTCCCATTCTGAAACTATTGAATGGATTTGGGTTGGGTGAGGAGGGGGTTTGGATGTGGGAATGTTCATTGGACTTTGTGAATGCTTAAAAACTGAAAATAAAGCTTTCTGTTCATTCATTCATTCATGTAAAAGTTGAGGAAAATAGATTCCAGCAGCAGACTCTTTATTTTCTCTCATTTGGTGCCTCCATCAGACAATATCCCCATTGTACAATCAACAAAAACAACACCAATGCAGCAGAGAGTACTTTATGTAGTCTAAATAGATTGTAGATTTTTTTTAATATTACGCAAGACTCGGTTATGTATTCCATAAATGAGCCAAATAATTTGCAGGCATCTCCTCCAGATACTTCTCCATATTATTATGAATCATGATTTTTTTTAAAGAAAAAACACATCCATATAACATTATATGTAATACGATAGGTTAATCAGGTCATCATCAATTTCTCATTGCAAAAAAAAAAAAAAGCACATGTATTTCTCGCATCCCTTTACGATCTCGACACTCTGGTGAAAAGGCATATACATTTCAGAGTGTATGCATCACACACAAAGCTTGGTTCCATTTTATTCGTGTCTTATGTTTTAGCTGCCCTTCGCCTGAGGAAAACACGAGTGGACGACACGTCTTTTGGAGCCGAAAATGCCGCCTAATTTTGCGAATCTTTAAATGCAACATTAAACATTTTCAGATTTTAAGTTTCCGGTCTATTTAAATAATAGACTTCAATTCCACGAGGAAAAATTAGCTCGTTGTTGACCGAGAAATGGATATATACGACTTCCTCCATGAAACGTTTATCCTAATCGAAAAAAAGTATATTCGAAAAAATGTGCCAGCAGTATTCATCGGATTACAAGAGTATTATTGTACTGCATGTACAGACAAACTCCAAGGTTCGTTAAGAATCACCGTCAGCAGAAAAGGAATGCTGCACAGCTTACAGGGAGCAGCAACTCATGCATATCGACTCGATTTCATCAACGATAATGCAGCATATATACAGCAGAGATCCCTATATCTGCTTCAGCACACGGATTTCTTCAAATCGTTTTATAATTATAATCATCCCATGCGTGATTATCATTATAATTTCCTCCTTTCCACAGTCTTTCATCCGTCTATATATTTACACGTAATATATGTATACACTGCTGTACATCAGGCTCTATATACAGTACCTACACACACACGGCCGAAGGGCGACATCTACCTGACTTTGCATCATCTCTCCGCAGTCATTAAAACTGCATCATTCACGGGTGAACAGTACTTTGTGATGGTCACGAAATTAATGCCATTCTCGCGAAAAATAAACACGTTTGAGCTGGGCTTTTTCCTGCGTCTTATTCACAGCAAGGAAATGGCAAAATAGAGAGAAAAAAAGAAAACCCCGAAAAAATAAAAAAACAAAATAAATAAATGATGCGTGAGAGAATTGCTGGTCTCTCTCTCTCAAACGTCTTCTGCTGCTAGCGCCACCGCTTTATTGGAGACGATGGCGGAGGTGAGGAACCTCGTCGTCGTCGTCGTCGTTGTCGTCTTCGTCGGGCTACTGCTGCTGGGGACCATTACTGACGACGACGACGGACGCAGACGCACGTGCTGCTGGCTGCTGTTGTTGGTGCAAGTAGAGTGTCGCAGTCGTGCCACGGCGTTGACCGGATTCCTCGTCTGTGTCGGCGTCGGCATCATGAGGCAACTCATGCTGATGCCGCTGCAGTTGTTGGAGTCGGACTCGAGGGGATTCGGGTTCTCGTCGTCCTCGATCTCAAAGTCGGAAGGTGGCAACTGCTGATGCCGCTGATGCTGATGCCGATTCTCGTCATCGTCGTCATCGTCATCATCATCATCATCATAGTCGTCGTGCACGTTATTGGCGAGCACGACTAGTTGTGCAGCACTGACGCCGCCGCAGCAGTCCGTGATGCTGGCTTCGCCGCCGCCGCCGGTCGTCTGCGGCAGCATTTCCATCCGCGTGCTGCTCATCGTCGGCCGCCCCGAGCGGAACCAGCACTGCGAACTGTTGCCCAACAACTCGTCGCGTTTGCTACTGCTATTGTTATTGTTATTGTTATTCTTTGAGCCAAACAACCGCCGTCTGTAGTGGCCGATGACGCCACGATGAGGATGACGACCGCCGCCACTTATTCCTGCTCCTCCTCCTCTTACTCGTCGCCGTCTCTTGTCCTGTCCCAAAACACGATATACTGTATATATATATATATATATATATATATATATATATATGACGGGTAAATGAGAAGAATGAGAAAGAACAATACTACTCTTAACGGAATATGCTCTAATAGGGAGGATGAAAGACCTGAAACATATTTCTATACAGCTGTGGCTGATTTCTCTGCTATTATGTGTAGTGGGATAAACATTTCTGTACAGGTCTCTATTATATCTCCAACCCTCCCTGCTTAACATATTAACCCTTGGATGAGGGAGGAGGGTTCCACTCCATCCTGTGTTAAAGTCAGAATTTTTTTTTGGGGGGGGGGGGGGAGACAGCGCATTTCAGTTTGACCAAAGGTCACTGGTTGGGAAGGTACAAGTTATTACGAAAAATCCATCAGGAGGGATGAATCCTTTTGAATTCCAAAATTATCTGTATAATAATGCTAACTGTATGCAAGGAATTTCTGAAGATTTTTTTTATTTCGTAGCCACATTTTTCACAGGATAATGAAAAAAATATTGGACTTCTTCCTGACCTACAGGCCTTGGCGCAAAAAAAAAAAATTATTATCAGAGCTCATGAAGTCACAATTTTGCATCTTCACAGTAAGGGCTAAAAAAGAAAAACTCACACCAGAAACCAAATATACCTGGCACAAAAACACTGTTGTATTTGTAAGTCAAAGAATAGTAAGGTTCAATGACAGTTTATAATATTGAATGCTCAACAGTTGATATCCTCATTCTGCATATATACTGTACTGTACTAGCTGTACAAGAAGAGTGAGCTACTGTATATACACGTACCTGGAGGAAAGAACACATGCCACAGGCCTTGAAGAAGCTCTTGCGGAAGTTGTCCGAGAGGAAGGCGTAGAGGATGGGGTTGATGGCCGAGTTGCAGTACATGGGGATGGCAGCCACGATGTTGTAGTTGACCAGGGCCACGGGCGACACGTCGGGCACGAGGTCGAGGAGCTGGCCCACGAGGGCCACCTGGCCCAGCCAGTAGGGCAGCCAGCAAATGACGTAGGCCACGATGACGGTGAGCACGAGTCGAGTCACCTTCTTGCGCGTGTTGCGCTTGCGGGCCCGCGACTTTCGCAGAGTGGAAATGACCTGCATATTTTAATATGATGCACGACGAGATATGAGATATTATGAGATGCAAACATAATGAGCATATGTCTTCCTAAGGATTCCCAAAAATAAAGTCTTCCTTTTCTTTTCATTCGGGAGATACATACAGAGCTTATTTTTTGTTGTTCAAATATATATATATATACTGTACGATCAAGCGTTTGCTTCTTCTTACAATTATCCTTCAATATACGTCCAACAGAAATTTAAAAGAAATATGCTTTTGTGTGAAGACTGAAGAAGTAGAGTATTAGAAAAAAAACCAAAACAAAGAAGAGTATATCTGTGAATTTCAGGAAATTCCAAAAAAGACAAAGAGGTATTCAGGTTGACCAAATATAAAAAACATTACTGTACATTACTGTATATATACTGTACACCTGGAATCTCTCTCTCTGTCTCTCTCTTGTCTTAAACAATGTCTGTGTATAAAGAATGTGTTTGGTCATATGCAGGGATCTTTCCCCATGTGATACAGGTTCATCTACTGTATGTAAGTAAATTTCATATATATGAATGTGGCACTCTGCAATTCAACCTTAATCTGTTACATTGACCAAATTGCAAGCTAGACAATAAATTGCATGACACCGTGTACACTTGAGTACAAACAGCACACAAATACTAAAAAAGTGGTGGATGCAGGTCAAACTGTGAGTCAATCTCCCAGCAACTTCAACCACCAAATTGCAAGACAGTCAAATTGCAAGGTACCACTGGTACAACATTTTTTTTCCGTGTTCCCTCAAATTATGTTGCAGTGACAGTCCACCTGTAAACAAATATACAGTGGTGGTACCTTGCAATTCAACCACCCTCACTTCAATTTGACAGTCAAATTTTCTAGGACGATGAGGGCAACTTGCAATTTGACTCTCAAAGAGACTCAAAATGTCAAATACAATATGGAAAACATTGCCTCGGATGAATTTTACCCTTTCACAATTCACCCCTAGTCCACAGCAGCAGATTAAGGTTGAGTTGTGGGGCTCCACCTGCTCCAGGTTTCTTAATCACTGTGCAGGGTGCATAATACAAGGAGCTATAGGCGAATTCCTTTTGTTTTTGTTTTCTTTCTATCCCCCAAATCAAAGATGAAGTAAAATAAAAAAAAGAGAGGAACATGTAAAGAATACATATGCACCTGAGAGTAAAAGAGAACAATGAAGCCCAGTGGGATGACGAAGCTGGCCATGAGGTTGTACATGGTGAAGACGACGTAGCTCCGGCGCTGGTTGTCCTCGGGCAGGAAGATGGTGCAAGTGGCCACGCCGGTGGTGTTGTTGGTCACGCGGGTGGAGGAGTAGATGAAGAGCGGCGCCATGAGGAGGGCGGACACCATCCAGGTGGTGAGGGCGACCACACGGGAGATGACGGGCGTGCGGAGTCCGGAGCCTTTGACAGCGTGGCAAATGGCAATGTACCTGAAATGGATTGGAGTAACGAGTACAGTGTACATCAGTGATATGGGGTCTTGCCGTTTTGGTGAAGAAACCACAGTACAGTATTTGGATAACAAACTTTGCATTTTGCCCTTTTATTGGCTGCATATTGGATAATGAAGCATGACTTGATTCACCAATTTTGGGGAGGGGGTTGAAGGTGCATGGTCTCATATACAGTACTAGAGTCCCACCATGAGTGTTCTTGAACTATGTGAACTCAACAAACTTTGAATATTCTTGGCAATTTTCCTGTATTTTTCTTTTAATTCATAGGCTTCTTTTCCTTTTCTTACTGCAGCATATACCGTTCTTTGATATGCTTCTTTCTTTTTCAATGCATTGATTAATTTCCAAATTGAATTCCTTTACAAGATTACATTTAATCATGCAAGATGGGCATTATTCATGTGTGCATGGCAAGTTATTGCAGTGGTGACTTGTGGGTGTGGCAAGCCATGTGCGGCAACTTTACTGGTCTGTTATTCTGGTAAGTTGTAACAGCGGCGGGTTGTCTGATGTGCAGCAGGAAATGACTGCAGCAAGCCAGTTTTGCAGCAAGTTATGACAGCAGCAAGTCATAAGGGGTGCAGTTAGTTCTGAGTGCAGCAAGTTCTAGAGCAGAGAGTTGTGTCAACACAGAATGGAAGAGTCATTATTGATTGACTGAGTAATCATCCTGGAGGAGAAGTGCTGATTGATGGACTCTCACTCACAGCCCTGAAACATGCATATAATGAAATGTGGTGATATAGATATATAGAACAATTTCGAAATTCTACAAAAAAGTGGAACTTGGACTCAAATTATTTAAAAGAAAAAAAAAAGGTCTTTGAATTTGTTCTTTGCTATATTCGCAGCGTAGAATAGGTGGCTTGTTTTCGGGGTTACTTATTTGGTCAGGCAAGAATTGCATTCTTTCTTTACTGCTCATCCATCATGAACTGTGAGAATTTTGGAAAGTCCCCTACTTGTTCTCTCATGGGCGAGTTAAATTATGCCTAATTGTCCCTGCTGCTGCTTGGAGGAAAATAAATATACGTGAGCGTGGAAAGTGTGTAACTGTAGCAGCAGCAGAAGGTACAGCATATGTATGCATAAATGCAGATCGAATCGCAGCATTCATTTCTTTTTTCCTTTTTTTTCCTACTGATTTCTGTGGGCACCATTACCAGCTTCCAGTATATACATCGGATACACAGCGTCTACGCAAATTAGGAATAACGTGCGGCCGGGGTTCCGTCGTCTGCGGAGTTGAAGTTATTTGGCCTCTTTCGGCGATTGAATCCACAGTACTGCTGTACTCTACTTTACACCACGCATTGCACCACATTTGAGACCAGCAGGTGGCGTGTGCTCACTCACCAGTCACCAGTAAAGCAGCCGCGTATACGAGTATAATGACCCGTGTACGTGTGAAAAACGCCACACGTACATCAGGAAGCAAAAAAGAAAATGGTCCAGTCATCACAAATAATAAATCGGGTTATTCACTGCTTCTCCTGCTGCTGCTGCTTCTCTTTTATAAATCGGTCGACTCGTCCCATTTCCAGTCATCGTACGTTGCTTCTGGTCTGGCTCATATCCTCGACATTTTTTTGCTGGCGGCATTTATTCGCATATTTCTCAAGACTCATCCTTCATTCTGCATGGTGCTTGACATTTATTCATTCATTTTCGCGAAACAACTCGACTGCGTATATTAATGGATTCAAATTAGGCACCATTATACTGTACTCAAAGTCAGAATGATGCTGTGGAGTCAAATAATAGTAATGATTATATTCAATGTACAATAAGAGCCCCCTTCGGAAGTATAGTTCAGTTGGAGGATTCATCGATAGGAAAAGTTAATCGGTGTTCATTTCTGCACTGTTAACGAGTTCACGTACCGCCGCCACCTTTCATCAACTATGGAGTTGAAACAAACAGGCGTTGGCGATATAATGATGATGATGATTATGATGGTGGTGGTCATAGTGTTGATGCTATAGCGGTAATCATGGTGCTTGCTGATGATACACAGCTGCATCAGCAATGAGTATAATAGTGCAGTAATTGTTCGCGGAGTCTTCATCGTTATTGGATCATTCAAAAGGATGATACTGTAGCGTAGATAATGAGAAAACAGTTTAACGGGTAAACCTCAATTTAATGCCACCGTTTGTCCTGGCACAATTTTTAGCGTTGGATTAATGGTAATGTAGGGTATACATGGTGAAAGAAGCAAGTTTAGTCGATGGTTTTGCTTGTACAATTGTATATGCAAAAGAAGCTTGTTCACGTCAGGGTTAGGCCACAGAGTCACTGTTGTCAATAAGAGTGCAAAAGTCACAAGAAGTGATTTCAAGCTCAAAGTCACGATTTTCATGTTGTATTCCAAGATTTTAATCTTCAAGACAGAATATATCTGATTTTTATACATATTGTGTCCAGTAAAAAAGTGCAGAGCTGTTTTTCAACATGTTGTATATGCACTTCAATTTTATACCATAAAGGTGTCATCCAAAAGGAATACAGATGGTACCTTGCAATGCAACACTAATCCATTGCCAGATCTTTTCTAATTGCGAGTTGGTCAAATTGCAAGACACTCACAGAAATTTATAAATACTGTATATATATTAAAACTGCCAACAATGGCCAAAGCAGGTCAAATTGTGCAAGAAGGGTTGAATTGCAAGTTCAACATCCCTGCAAATTTTACCATCAAATTGAGGGATTGTGGTGAAATTGCGGGAGGCCAAATTGCAAGGGACCACGTTTACATATTCTTCCAGAAAAGCTTCCACTTGAAAAAACAATTTTGCATAAGGAGCGTGTGTCATATAATAACAACAACAATATAGCACAATTTTGCAGCAATGTAAATTGAAAAAAGGAATGTTCAAATGATGACAATAAGGATGTACTGTAATTCTCAATTCTGATAATGTATAAAGTGTTGTCCATAGACCAAGGGAATAAAAATACTGCATAGGCTTCACTAAAATATATTCAAATATATATATTTTTAGTTACAACTCACAATAAATTGCAATTGCACAAATGTAAATAAAATGAAGAGATTCAAAGAGAGTCTTGCTGAATTGTTTTGCAAGTCTCTCTGAGAAATAAACGCAATGAGCTCTTGATTAATTCTGGAGAATTGGCTGGAAAGAAGGTATGTTTATGCCTTCCTTAGAATACAAATATAGAGAAGGAATATTAGTGTTGAATGAGGAACTGCAGTTTCCATGAACACTACTGATGAATATATATACATCAGGGTGTATATTCAATATAAACATAAGTATATATGCATGGTAGTTCAAAGGAACCATTCCTACTAAATTAACAATGTAGAAGGGAGAAGCAGTGAGGGTTGTTTGTCACTGTAGTCAAATAGCAAATTGTAAAACAGAATGAGCATAAATGAGCATCACACTTTAATGCGGGTCAACGCAAGTAGAGGGGGAACAAAAACAAGGAAACAGCTGCAAGTAGGAACAGAAAACCTTGTAGAGAAAAGACTCCTCCATATAAGGAGAAAAGAAAATAAAACCCAAATTGGTTCCTGGGTTACAACAGCTTGATGATATCCTTGGAAAATAATGCCTTAATTTTTCTGATTGTAGTCCATTTCTCATATCAAGGACCAGAATGGTTTTTTGGCACTACAGTATATTAGTCAAGCATCATTAAAGAGGAGCACATTGACTGCTGTGCTGTAGTGCAATAAGTGGTGCCCTATACAACTTGACTCTATAATCCATTGCTGAATAACTCATGGACCAAATTGTGAAGCAGTCAAATTGCAATAGACAACATCAAATTCAAGTTTTCTACATCATATCTGACATTTTGTGTCTTTATGATGGTTGTGACTTTAATTGCAGGGCAGAGGTTAAATTGCTAGTCAACCTCCGGCAATTAAATTTATGAGTGTAAAATTGCAGGATGATGGAAAAATTGCAAGGTACCACCTATAGCTGCATGTAAAGCATTTATATGCAATGTACTGCATATATATCCAGTATAAATATGTATATAAATGTATTGACCTGTCGCCACTCATGACCGTGAGGAAGGCGCTGCTCGTGAACTGGTTGATGCCCGTCGTCGTCATGTACACCTTGCACATGACGTAGCCAAAGGGCCAGGACCTGAGGACGCTGGTGGCCAGCAGGAAGGGCAGGCCCACGAGGAAGCACTCGTCGGCCACGGCCAGGTTCAGGATGTACGTGTTGGTCACGGTCTGCATCTTGGAGTAGCGAGCAACGACGTAGATGACGAGCGTGTTGCCACACAGGCCGACGACGCAGATGACGACGAACATGACCTGGGACACGGCAGACAAGATTTGTTGATAATGATGATGCTGCTGCTGCTGGGAGCTATTATGTTGTTGTTCTTCTTCTTCACCACCAGTAGCAGCATGGGAATGAGGCATTGTTGTTGCTGCTGCTGTTGGCGTCAATGACGACAACATCATCAGCTGCTTGTCGTTGTCCATCGTCGTCGTCGTCGTTGTCGTCATCGTCGATGTCGAAAGAAACAAGCTGGAGTTGAGCCGCAGCAGGGCCAGGGACGGTGAAGACAGGAGCATCACAGAGAGCAGCAGCATCAGAGAGAGTCTGGGCCAGCACCTCACCATCATCATCATGAGGGACACTACGACAGCCGCCATCACTGATGCTGACACTATATACTGCTGACGCCGCCGCCGCCGCCGCCGTCGCGGGCGAGTCCTGTCTATATATATATGAAGAAAACCCGCAGCAACAGCAGACATCAATAACCAATCAGCACCTGAATATTCCGAGTTGTTCCTTTCATGCATCTTCTTGTTATTCAAAAAGAGCTCTATGACATATTTTTTCTAGTTTGCTTTTCCTATAGAAGTTGTTAAAATCTTGAAAATAAATGCGTCAGCAGTTTAAAAACAGCAGCATGCAATTATATTTGAAAGACAAGGTATATACAGTATAGGCAACCTTTTTGAGTTCAAAGTCATGAAAGAACCTCACCGTCAGGAAATGATTGTGCAATCAGCACGCACTGCTTCAATAAAGAGACCAGAAACCTTCCGTGTGCCAACAACTATAAAAATGTTTTGTATTATTGTGCACAAAAATAAAAAAGGGTCTGCAGAAGTATAGACAGAAGTTCAAATATGAATCAAGATTACTTTTGAAATCCCTTTTTAGCACAGAGTCATATTCTTAATGTTTTCATGGAGGAGTTCTAGATGAATTGCCAAGAATATTTCAGACTATAGTTCTTGAACATGTACTGCTGTGTATCAGTTGTCTGTATACTAAAGCACTCACTCAAGTAACACACGCAAGACCCATTATATAATTGTGCTCTGAAACACTCATCCAACCACCCATTATCCAACATTTAATGCAACAAACTATTTTCATTTTTGTTCTTTCAAAACAAACACATCCATACATACACACATATGCATTTTCAATGTTCTGTATATACTGTATATAGGTATATATAGAATATATGAAACAACTGTATTCCTCTATTCCATGTATACACTTGGTGATCTGATGAATAAGTGTAAATTCATAGAGAGATGTGCATTTCTGTTGCATAAGGACTGCACAATATACAACAGTAGTAAAGGTATCAGAAGTTTAAACGCATAAAGAAAGCCTTGGAAAATCTATATCCAGCAGTTGGGTGAACCACAAGGCAATGTTGTGCATTTTGTGGCAGATAAAAAAAAAAGAGAAGAAAGAAATAGAGCAACCCACCCCCACACACACACACACACACACACACCATGACAGCACATGACCCTTATCTTGGTCCTCCTCCTCCTCCTCAATCCTGCACAACCAACAAATCCCTACACAACCTTCAATTATCCTGCTGCTCAAAGGTTTGCCTGCTGCAAACAACAAAGCCTCCCCGGGATGACGAGCAGAGAAACGCAAAAGCAGGCTTCAAGTGGGTGAGCTGTATATATATATATATTCTGCTGCACTTGTACCTATATATCACATGAGACAGTACATTACTTGAATAGGAAAACCGCAGGATGAGAGCAAAGTTCTGCCCAAATATACGTGACTATATACAGTTGTATGTATACTATTCTGTACCCTGTTTATTTGTTATTTACTCATCACTGTTTACCACCTATGATGAGACAACAGCAACCGTATGTACGGGAAGAAATGAAATAAAAATATGTGAAACTCTCCGATATGCTGCTCATCATCATGCGATGGTCGAGCGAGTATTTATTCCTTCTTCCCCCCCCCCCCCATTGCAGTCTTTTGTATCAAGCAGGATGGAAAGAGACACAGTGCCAGTATAGGGTTGAAATGTTTATGCTTCTGGGATGCCCCCAGCACGGGTTCCTATATATAATGCACCAGTTTCAAAAACAATAATAGATCCCGACCAGCAAAAAAAAAAAAAAGAACGAAATTGAAAAAGAAGGATGGGGACCTGCTGTGATGGATTGCTCTGCCATTTCCGACCTGAGCCCCCCCCCCGGAATCCTGATTTATCCGCCCGTCTGCTGGGGTCTCTGACGCTGGCCGCTTTCAGGAAATCCGACTCATCCTCACATGTATAGCATCAGCAAATCTCTCCCTCTCTTCATCTCTTCTTTTTCTCTTTTTTTTTCAATAATCTCTCCCCCCTTCCCCCTCTTTCTAGACGTTCTGACTTCACTTGACTCCCTTATTCTGCGATTCCCCGCAGCAAGAAATGAAAAATAAAAAAGAGAACAATAATCTCGAAAAGGAAAAATAAAAATAAAAGCTCCATCATGATTGTTCCAAGAAACCTCTTCTCTATTATTGTATATACAATCAGCAATAATTCTGGCATCCATACATATATGCTGCTGAGTGAATGTGGTATTTACCATGCGAGAGTCTCACTTTTCTTGAAACAGATATGTCTATATATATAGAGCTCTCTGATTTGTTGGTTAAATTTCTATCCATTCGCGTGCAAACTATTTCAAAAAAATATAATTTCTTTACCTAGATCTATTTGCGTTCAAGTCGCATGTTTTCGTCAGGTAATAATTACGAATCTCCACCTAAAAAAGGAACGAAATCTATAAATAAAAGGGCTAATTTTCATTTGGTTCCATTTTATCCATTTTAATCAGTACAGTACAAAAATACACTTTTATTCCTGCTTAAATTGAAAAAAAAGACTATTTTCAACCTTTTGCAGCACTGCTTGAACCACGAGAGGGCTGTTGTGTCAAGTCAAAATGGCTCAGCACATGTATCTGAGAACCCCATGAATTCTCCAATATAAGTAATTCAGGGTTAAATCCTCATCTCTTTAATATTTTCATCACTCGTGAAAAAAGAGGAATATTCAATCAGAAATAAAAACACAGTAGCTGAGGACCTCTTGAGAATGCTATTGGGTCTCGATAATAAGTCAACTGCTGCAGCTATATAGCTTCAGTATTTGCTTATTATACCCATGCTGTGAGAGCAGCAGCCATATCATCCCCTCTGATCCTGATGACCCCACAATAAAACACCATCAAATATAGACGTACTATACTCATCATTTGTATAGCTATAGTCAGTCACTCAGGAGGACTCGATCAGGATCACCAGTCAGAAAAGATGGCCTCTGCTTCTGCCGCTGCTGCTGCAAAGCATGTCATATTATTCTATCTATATAGACACACACGAGTATGAACAGTGTATGGATGAAAGAAGAAAGCACAAAATGGACCTGGGGGATGAAACTTGAGGGATTCATTTCACCGCATTGTTAAAGCCGGATCATCAGGAAACATCACCCACTCGCCGGAAATGTATCATTCTCTTCAACAGGTGCATACGTATATACTGCAGTATACATCATGCAGGAAGAGGACCAGGATCCCCCTCTCCGGTATCTCTCACTTTTTTTTTTGCATTTCGGGGATCCCTTGTTGTTGACACACACAGCACAGCACACACACACACACACACACACACTTGTGTGCAGGCCAGGAATGAGAACGGGGATCTAATTCCGGACGATTATTTGCACATGGATAAAGTGTCCCGACACCAAAGGGGAAAAGGAAATCAAATGACCCCGCTGATGGGGAATTGAAAAAGGAAAAAAAATTATGAACTTCTGTCTATACATGCTGTACACTGCTGGTATGAATTTAACGAAAAATAAAAAAATAAAATCAAGGAATGCATTACAATTTATTTATATTGGGTGTGAACCAACTCTGAATCCTTCCCTCCTCCCTTATATAACAACTGTAATTGAGAGAATTGAGCACTGTCAAAGTATTACTCCTGAAAAAACATAGCCACTAATCGCCTATATAAAGCATTAAGTATTGATGTCTGTGAAACTTTGTCTTTTTTTTTATTCAGCTGGGTCAGTAAAGTTTCTTGAAATTTCATAACACTCCATCACCAAACTTGAATACGATTTCTATTTTCTTTGCTATTTTGTTTGTCTGTGTGCCAACACTAGCAGCAGGACACATTACTTTGTATACAAGAGTACAGCAGCACATTTTCACACCATCAACACGTACAAAAGGTGATCAGAAATGGTATTTAATATAGCAGCACAAATTAGGGGTACATTTGTGCATAAAATTCCTTTTTTAATGAATCACCATCCCACCCTACGTTTTACTTATTAATATAACTGTTTGATTCATACAAAATTGCCAATGCTGTCTGTAATTGTCCTTCTCTCTCTCTAAATATTCTGGCCTTTTTATTTTTATTTTTTGACGCACTAATTAAATGCAGTATATAAAGCTGCCGGTCGAAAATAAGAAGAAGAAAAAACAATTTCACACGCGATTCCACATGCATATTTCTATGCATATTCCCGCAATAAACGAGAGGGACATCCTCAATATAAGGACAGCTAGCTGGAATAAGCAGCATGTGGCCGAGCCACAGGTTGTCAGCAGACTGAGCGAGAGGATCCCTCAGCAGAACACGAGAGAGGATCCCGCCGTCCGTCCAATTCGTCATCTACATTACGTATTTCATTCTTCCTTTATTCCTCATACTCCCGAGAGTATGGTAGATGAGAATACTGCTGTACCTCGAAACCCACCCACAAATAACATCCCCGTACACTATAGCTGAATAAAAAATAAAGTAGCAGATCAAACTAAAGGAGGAAATGATGAGGAATCACTTGTATTTTTTCGTTTATAAAATTCAGATGAATTTAATGGAATGAATAAATGAAATAGGTTTTGCTGCCTGGCATACGCCCCCAGTATCATATACACTACATATAACTGTATACTGTATTGTATACAGTATATATACACGCAATATAGAATAAGTGGGGAATAAGGTGCACAGCTTCATATTCCACTTCCCACAGACTGTCATCTTTCTGACTGACTTTTGACGGACATGAATGAATGAATGAATAAGCAGGTATATGGAGGGCAAGCGTGAGAATCCTCCCACACACACACACACACACACACACACACACACAGACAAAGGAGGAAGAAATATAACACGGAAACGTACAAAACCAACAGACATGCAGCCACAACGTACCAGACTGATTTCTGGGAAGTTGAAAAAAAAATTTAACCGGAAGCTTTCGTATTATTACTCAAAAAAAGATTTGAGTAAAAAATGTCAGCGATGCTTTTATTTGACTTTGATGCACCATTTTTCCTTCATC